GACTTTCGCTAACAAAAACATATTGAGAAAGTTCTTTATCCAAAGAAGGTGCTCCTTTTCTTTAGTTTAGGTTTATTTTTCTTCGTTTTGAATAGTTTTGAAAGACTTTTAGACACTTTTTGCCGTTTGAAACTCGGCTCTTGTCGCGGAGCAAAAAAATTGCGTATTGCCCGTGGGCACAGAATAAAGACCGGTTGTACGAAAGGTGGATAAGTTATCCAGTGGATAAGTCCTATCCAATGGATAAATCTCCTATCCAATGGGCAATGGATAGCTATCTGCCGAATAAAAATGCGTTGTACGAAGCACGGATAGCAGGGTGGATAGCTATCCGTCGGATAACCTTAATTTTAACCGGAGAAAACCGGATTTTCCTGAAATTTCTTATCTCTACGCCAGCTGTTGCTAGGTATTTGTAAACTTTTGTTGTAGTATCTTCGTATAACCATAGGCAGCCCAAAACGGCGTGTAGAATGCACCAATAATGCTTCCAAATGTCAATTTGCATTAAGCTCGCCCCATTCCTTTGTCATTTGTCGCGCGCCGCAAGCACTCAATTTGAAAAGCAGTGTTGATATATATATAGATTATACCACAGAATAGGAAGTTATACCAGAAGCGTAACTCGAGCAAATATGTGTCCACGTTTTTACAAGCGATTCGTCATCAACACGCCATCCTGGCTAGTACAACCGGCACTTTGTACCTGCCAAATCCTGATAAAAACTTCCGGCTGTACCACAGGCGGCCCAGACGTGTATTAGTGTATAGTAAATATATCATTATAGAATACACTACACAGTAAAATTTGTAATGAATTTTATATTTTAAAATCATATTTACTTGCCTACTTTGATTGTATGTGATCGTCTTTTATTTCTGAGCGACTTTACATTCGATGCCTGCGACTGTCTTCATACTATGAAGACAGTCGCAGGCATCGAATGTAAAGTCGCTCAGAAATAAAAGACGATCACATACAATCAAAGTAGGCAAGTAAATGTGATTTTAAAATATAAAATTCATTACAAATTTTACTGTGTAGTGTATTCTATAATGATATATTTA